TTAAAACAACTATTTCAGCCCACTGAACGCTGCAGCACTAAATGTGAATCATGTGCTTGATGCAAAGAGACATTCTGTTCTCTTATTTAGACCGTGGGGATTTCTCCTGGGTCATAAACCTCCATGGAATTCAATCCACATCTGTTCGCCTTCCTTCATTTTTACACTCAAAACCTTTTAATCCTCCCACAGTAAGTTGGTGCCCTTCTTGTCATCAGGCTGTTTAGGTATTGGGTTGTCTTGCTGTCTCTCTGCATCCTGAGAAAGATATATGTATGATTAACATCTATCATATAAGCCTGTTTCCACTGGGCTACCATGAGAATAATGATGTCTGTGAAACACTGGCTACACTGCCAACAAAACATCAACCCCCTCCTGTCACCCATTTCTCATCTCATTAACCTCCAGGCGACACACTCGCACACTCATACACCCAGCACATATACCATAGTATCATATTCATATTCACTCCAAGGCAGTGTGCTGGCTGCTGTTTCGTGTTGTTGCGTGCATGTGTGTGTGCATGTATCGGCTGAGGCTGCTGTCATGAGGAGATAGCAGTTCCCTCGGGGTTGTCAGTGACCTTGTGCTTCTCAATGAGATTCTTTTTATGTTCAAACAGAGCGAAAACTCCCAGCAGTGCTCCTGCTTCATGAACAGTCACAGGTCCTCATTATTCCTCCGTCGCATGTCACACAGATGCAGTACACGTGCCACCTGTGGGCTCGATGGATGTTGTTGGGTATCACAGATCAAATTGGTCTCGATGTTTGTGTTTCCTCTGATCTCTGCAGTGCTTTGTTCTACGTGTGACATCACTTGGCTTTCAGTGACAAAGTTCAGTCAGTGAGATTATAAAGCAACACTACCGTGCTGTCACTTCTGCTACAACTCCTGCTGCTACTTCTGTAACTCCTTTATATTCCCTTCCATGTTCATGTGTACACCTGAACATTAAACCATAGGAGATTTTTCATCTCATTGCAAAAATCATGGAGAAGTACTCCAGTACTATTATGCAATTGTTGAGTCTGTCAGCAGGGATTTGTGGGATTTTGATTTTATTGCCGTCAACCAGTATAACAAAATTTAGTTTTGCAGTTTAACAGAAAGTGTAAATAGTAGCAAAGAGCCTTTAGACATATCTACTATAAATATGTATGATACCAAGAGATCAAATTAAGTTTAAAGCAATTTCTTGTTATGTATAGTGTGAACAATAAACTAGCTATATAGAATGTAGTATAAATGTACAGTGTTAACGATAAGCTAGTACAGTGGTTCCCAAAAGATTTTTTCATTCCCATATTCATAACTAAATAAAGTTTAACCACACTTTTAGACGTACTACATTTTATATTACTTTTTCAAACATTTTTAATCAGAAAAATAAGCAATAAACATCAAAACACTGAAATTAAACCCCAGTTGAACCTTAGATTGGTGACATGACAGCTGATGATTGCCAGTTGTCATAATAGCTTAATGTAACAGCAAGCCATGCAAATTGTTGCCAGTGTAAATAGAATCAAAGAAATGCCAATAGGTCTCAGACTTCAAAGTTTTGAGTTGCAGTTTGAGATGACCGGAATAACTAAAATCATACTGTACAGTTAAAGCTACTTAGCTTACAGCTTTATGTGGATAGAGTGAGCTACCCTCCAGATGATCTGGAGGGTAAAGTAATTTAATGCAGCTATCGTGCCAAATAAACTCATCTTCCTCCTCTGTGAGGCTGTATTGAGGCACAGCAGTCCCTCAAGATAAATACTAATATCAGCATGCTAACAGGGAGCTAGCTGAGGAAGCAAGCTTTCGGCTTTGGCTCAAAAGAAAAGCTGTAGGGGGCAGTAGAGAGACATCCCTGTTAGCATACTAATGTTTCCTTATTAGCACTAAACACAAAGTACAGTTGAGGAAGTTTTTTCTTGCCACTGTATGGGACCATTATTATTGCAAAACTACCAGTATTTACAAAAGGGAGTGGAGAGTTGTGTAACTGTATCTCAATCTGTGTGTGTGCGTCATCAGATTTGCAAAAGGATCTATAAATATGTACTGAGATTTGGGAATGTGTACAGGAATCTGCGTATTCAGTTTTGTCAATGTGTAAAAAAAAAATCTCGAAAACTGTATTCATATTTGCCTGTATTGAGATTTGTAAATGTTTAATCAAATCTGTAATTGTGTACATACATATTAATGGCTGAAAAGTATTTGCTCCAAGAGCTGGAAAATACAGACAAGTCATCTGTAACAACTCTGTGTAAGGGTTTTTCTGCTGTGGCAGAGATCTGCAGATGCATGTGGCAATTTATGTGTGTGAAGAGATTTGTGTGTTTGCCTCAGTAGCAGTGCAGAAGTGTAGCAAGAGTAACGTGTAAAAACACTGATGACTTGTCTGTATTTCCAATTCTTAAGACTTCTCATCCATTAATATGTATGTATGCATTTACAGATTTGTCTAAACATCACAAATCGCAATACACTGGCTAATCTGAATATATATTAGGAGATTTTCTTTTTTTACAGATTCTGAACACACATTCACAAATCTCTAGAGATCATCTAATACACTTACAAATCTGATTATGCACACACAGATTGAGATATAGTTACACAACTTTCTACTCATATTTGTAAAAAGAATAGTTGTTTTGCTCCAATAGTGGCCCCAAGTGTTTGGTTATGGTGGAAATAGTTGGGTCTCTGTAAATAATATTACAAAGAGTACGGTCTAGACTGACCTGTCCTGAGATAACTAATTATTTGGCACTATATAAATAAAATAAAATTGAATTGAATGTAGTTAGTTTTGCAGGTATTTAGAAATAAATAAAAATATACTCGAAATTTTGACCAATTCATCCTGTATGTCTTTATCAAATTTCACAACAATCCATCCATTAATTATGGGCATTTTACTCAAAAGCACAAATGTCCACCTCTTGGTGATGCTAGAGGAAAACTCATCACACACATGAGAGATCATCACAGTCGGTAGCATTTGTCTTTTGAGAAAAAATGAATGTCTGTAACAAATCTGTATTTATATTATAAAACATCAGTGCAAGTCCTGTTATTGTAGTCACCTCCCTGTATATTAGTGAAAATATGATATCTATTCCCACTGGGGATTGGTACCCGTCCCCCTGCACAGAGGTCAGAGCAAATTGCACTCCGTATTAAACCCCTCCTCCTGCCCGAAAGTGCCCCGTGTAGAGCCAGAAAAGAGCACACAGGGACACCAGAACTCCATCACCTCATTTTCTGATACGAAGTGGAGAGCTGAAGTTAACGCTCTCCAGTTGAGCAGCACCATGACTCATCAGGCAGGACACGGGGGCCTGAAGCGGATCTCTGGTGAACTAACAAACAGCCATTAATGGTAACTTATTATACATCTCAAAGGGTTCATAAGCCTGCTGACTTCAAAGCGACGACCCTTTGCAGTGAGACGCCTTGATGTAACGAGTCTGCAGTCTGTCACAGGATTATGAACCAAGGAGCATTACTTTTATATTAAGCTTCTGTGCATATCCTAATGTCTGTGAAGAAATTCAAATTGAATAGATAACATCATGGTTAAAAAATTGATTGGTCACAGTTCAAAGCATGAGAAGTGTTTAATGTGATCATCCACCATTTTAATGCTCACATCACAAACTGTCAAAAGGGAAATTATTTTATTTTTGTTTCTTTTACTTTTTTTTTCTCTTTTTCATTTCCTTTCCTTTAATTTACGTTTCACTTACCTTCATCCTATAGCCCCCAGATACTTCTAAAACTATTGAACTGTCAGAGATGCTTTTCATAGTCACGGCTCGTGGACACAGTCCGCCTGAGCAGCGCGTGGTGTCTGCGGCGCATCACGGCTGTCACAGTGAATGTGACAATGTAGCTTTTGGTTTTGTCACCGTCTCCATTGAAAATGACACATTGGCTCGTGCAAAAAATGCCACATCTGAACGGCCCCTAACTCAATAATCACTGAACAAAGTCAGGGCCACGGTTATGAAAATGTAATTTCAACAGGTGGAGCTAAAGTACGCTTCACAGCCTGGACTACGTTGAGAAAGTTCAGAGTGCAAGCTAAATGTGTGAGGAATGTGAGCTATGTCTATCTACAGCTTCACGCTACAGGCTGATCTCCCTCCCACTCTGCCTGTCAAAGCTGAGACTGTGTCTTGGCAAGGCCTTAGATATTTAATCTGTGAGTCAGGGTGAGAGCGGATCAATATAGTACAGTACTGTCTCTTCATCACTCTTCCTTCTCTCTCTTTCAGTGAGTGAGTGTTCCTCCATCAATCAATAATCCTTTGAATTTGCCTCCTCATTAATATGGAGCGAAAACCAGCTCTGAGATACTGAATGTTGACAAAGTTTGTACCCCTTGTAACCTTTTTCTCTATGAATGACATGAACTCTATCAGGGGTCATCATCGAATCAGCTCTAGCAATCAGACTTTTCCTTTCATCTCTTGAGTTGTCTATAATGTGGATGATGCCGTTAAGTCCATTACACAACATCCAGTCCCAAACTTGTTGAGATATTTCAGACCTACAGACCAACAATCTTACCCACACTGCTATCCCTAGAGCCACACTGCTAACATGCCTAAAATTTACAAAAGTAACCCCAGCCTCATCCTTCATCATCTCCAAGCTTCATTATTGTCAAATTAGAAGAGGGGTTATTGACAAAATGTTCCAAATGCCTGTTAACTATTGAGCTGTCTGTTTAGCTGTACTGCAAAGTAATTCTACCTGTGGGTACAAATAAAGTAACCTGAACTTCATAGCTGATTTGATAAATAATGTTCTAATGTAATTATTGTAACAAATACTTACAATATGCTGTACAATTGTAACACATTCTTTCTAGTCCATGTATCCTGTTTGGTGTATTTTGATGATTATAAATGTGTTTCTCCCTCTCATTTCATTAAAAATAACTGCTTAACAACTTTAACATCTCTATTGTATTTTGTTTTAAGGCCCAGCATGGATGAGGCAGAGATGTACCAACAAAGGCTGCAAGCCATAGCGGTGAGAATGTAGTTCTTTCTGTCTTTACTTTTGTCTTTTCACTGTCCACTTCAGTTTGCGTTAAACCAACTTGAACTTTCACCTCATGTCAAAATAATCTTACCGCACCAACATTGTCTTGTGTCACTTCAGCGGAACGGTCTCACTTGATCTGCACCGCCTGAAGTGAGCATGCAAAGAACATTCCCCGAGTTAACTTTCTGGCCAATAATCACTGATCTGTGAAATGAAAGGTTGGAGGGCCTGAGTAGAGCCTGCTTGACCTCTCTCGAATGTAAAATCTGCCCAAACACAAGTGACCCACTTCACCAGAGACAGTGAGGGCCTGGAGTGGACCTCAGCATGTTTACAGCATCCATTAGCAGTACAGATACGGCGACAGCATGCATACAATGTGCTGTGTCACTGAACTATTTCTCTCGGCATCTCCGCACTCTGCCAGCTGTATCTCCCTGCTGCAATCTGTCGGTCACGTCTCCTAAAAATATCCCCCCTCTCTCTCTCTCTGTCATTCTCAGTACTTCACTTTAATACAGAAGAAGTCCTTGTCTTCAGGGACCATGACTGCAAAGGGGTGTTACCAAAGAATTATATCAAAAAGCGGGTGTAACCCACCAGCATAAGTACAGAGTTCTCGGATCAAGTTCTGTCTGTCAGTAGAAGAAGTGCACATTAACCTGCTTTTTTGGTATAATTCAAGGTTGTTGTTTTTTTTGCTGAGATAAAAATTTACAGGAAGACTTTAAATGCAAAGGTAAGTAGTGATAACATTCTTAGAAAATGTAATTTTTTGTGTGCATTAGACTGCAGAATTTACTTTCAAGCTATGTAAATCCTTACATGTATGTAAATGTGTCAAAAGGCAGCATAGACTGGCTGTTACTTTCAATGGCTTTAGCATTTTTTCGATAGCTAAGGAGGCAAAGTGAGGGGATTTGGGATTGATTAGAGATTCAGTCTTCAGGTCTAGAAATAGACACTGTAAAACTGAATTTGACCATCCTGCCTTATCAGCTGTGGTATGTGAATCTATTTCACAGTGGTGTCATTGTCTCAATAATCTCTTAAAATTCACAACCACTGCATAGGAGTCCAGAGTGTTCCCTCTGTTTGTTTGATGACACACTTCAACAACTGGAAACAGGAAAGATGAATCCGCCCCAAGAGTCTTTTTTTTTTTGTTTTCTTTTTTCCTCACATTCCCTCTTCAAAGATTTCACTTTTACTTCTGTTGTCAGGAGAGGCGTCGACAGCAGGAAGAAGAGAAGAAGCTTCGGAGAGAGACAGATGAGGAGTGGTTGAAGACAGCCCAGAGAAAGGTGATGGCACATAAAGTTTTTCTTAATGAAGCAAATCCTTCCCAAACTTATTAAGGTGGAACTGCACCCCTGTCTTCGACAGGAGCTTCAACAGTCACTAGAAGCACATTCAGGGCCCTGTAGCTAACCTAACAGCTTAGCATGAAGACTGGAAACAAGGGCAGCTAGGTCTTTTTTAACAAAATCTGACTTCAGCACCTCTAAAGCTCTCTAATTAACACATATTTTGTTTGTTTTTTCATCAGTACAAAAGACAAATTCTAAAAGACGACACAGCTGTTTTAATTTTGGAAAAAAATGCTTTTTCGCTTTGTTGCTAGGACTTAGATGAGAACTATCGAGTCTGTGCGGTAAATATGTAGCTACTGCAAAATGCTATGCATAGCATAAAGACTAAGATAAAGAAGCACAAGTTAAAACCCAGACGTGTCATTTTTACATTTCGGTTTTTATAGAAATACAAAAACTAACATATAGCAGTTTGTGAGCTTTAGAGATGCTGGTAGGTAGATTTTGTTACCTGAGCCAGGCTAGCTGTTTCCATTCTTTGTGCTAAGGCTAAACTAACTGGCTGCTAGTGGTAGATTAATATTTACAGTGCAGACATGAGAGTGGTATCCATCCTCTCATCTTACTCTCGGCCACAAAGCCAATAAGTATATCCTAAAATGTCAAAACGTTCCTTTATTGCTTTTGTACATAAAATACAAATTTACAAAAATGTGTAAATGCTGTGAAAGCTGAGGGCTTGAATCTACAACATTTAGTTTTCATTGTTCTCCCTCCATCCCAGCTGCTGCATGTTAAAAATTGACCATTGGTGGGTCCCACCCTAATATCATGTCATGTCTTATGACTGTTGCCAAACTGAGTTACTCGCTAGCCAACGCCTAGCTCAAGTGTTCTGGGTGGGGTCACTTGGACTCCATTATGACTCTGTTTTTTTTAGTTACACAAGCATATTTCATTTGATTTGCAGAAAGCTCCACAACCAGGGATTCTTTGTTACTATGTCAACCTGACCTACAGGAGGAAATGAATTGAATTCAATCTCTGGCTGTTCCAGTGTTGAAAATAATAAGGCGACGTTAAGAGAAAGAAACAGCAGGAGGGGAAGTGGTGATGACAGAAAAGGGAAAAGGGGACATTATTTGTGTATGGGTTGGGATTCTTTGCACTGAGCTGTTATGCATCACATAAACTACTTCAGTGTTCCCTTCAGGACATGCTCTTTTGAAAATAAACAACACATAACAACCTACATTATCTGTGTAGCCCAGTGCTGCATCATGCACACTGTAACAGCCTCCCACACAAACCGTGCGCAACACATTTCTGCTTTCTCCAACCACCCGTTGCCTCGGGGCAAGTGCATTGCTTGCGGCAGGGACAGACCATCCTAGCTACAGTTGAATAAGTTTAGCCTGAAGATACACTAACGCCTTCTTCATCTTTGTGGTGGTTAAATGTGAGGCAGAATTTGTCCCTTTCTCCGCCCAAAAGGCAACGTATTCTCTGCATCTCTGCTGCAACTACTGTCTATTATCACCCACCAAGAGCGGGGCCCATGCATGGTTACATGGCACAGATTTATGTGGCGAGTTGGAGAGAGTTTGGGGCTTCAAGTGTTTAAAAAAGGGCAGTTTCAGGTTGTCTCTCTCCCACACACAATAGCCAGGCATGAGTGGCAGACTGTGTTTTAACTGCAGGAGCAGGATGTCTGGGGCTCTGGGTTGTGGCACAGAGCTGTGACACCTTTTCACTGTCATTCTCAGACAACAGACAGCCTGCTGGCCTTACTCATCCACCGCAAGATCCAAAATGGCAGAACCACAGAGCTTGTTTGGTCTTTAGAGGAGCCAATGTTGCAGAGGACAGACTGGCTGGTGGCCCGCTGTGTGTCTGTCGCTTAATGAATGCTTCTGTACTCTAGGTCAACAAAGGCAGAAGGTGTCGATGTACAATGTGTTAGTTGTTATGTTTATGTTTTCATTGTGGAATATGGTGTAAACGCTAAACCCCTCCCCAGAGCCAATCCAATCATAGGTTAGAAACTGTAACAAAACATAGTTATGGATGTATAAAGGAGAACTGGATACAGCGTTGGAGACAGTGCTCCGTTTATTCCTATGAAAGCTGCTCAGTGGAGCATGAAGCCAAAATGCCACTTCCTGCTGTAAAGAAATTACCCAGATAAACTTCCAGTTTAGCACTCCTCTAGACTATCCAAATGTTATCTTACTGAATAGCTCAAATTCTGATTTGCAGGGTCAAAAAATGTAGCCACCGTTTTACAGACGCTTCTTTCACAATGTAATCTAATGGGAAAAAATGTTTTTAGTGCATCATTTGAAGGACATCATTGCTGTAATTTCATAGTTTGGCTTGGGCATAGTCAAGCTTTGGGTTTCTACACATGGTAAACCAGACAACACAGGACTGTAGTAATAGTAATACTCTGTATCCAAATTGTTTGAAAGGTAGTGTCTTTTCTAAACGTCACAATGCAGGAACAGATCAAACAGGGTTTATCTGCTCCAACGTACGCTGCAATTGGTAGCCTGTCCGACTAAATACTACCAGTAACCTAGTGTTACTTCCAAGGCCAAGAGTTAGCATATTGTGAACTAACTACATTAGTGTGTGAGCTTACATTCACTACTACCACATGTAGCTTTAGCCTCAGTCTTTTTGCATGATATCATGTAGCCATCAAGTGCTAATTAAACCTAGTGTTGGTAATAATGGAGAAGACTTTTTAAAAGTGTCCAACTGTCTCATTAATACATATTTCTACATAAAAGCCACAAATTCCCCACAAAACACTAACGAACAAACTAGATAATAACTTGTCCCTCAGTTCTCGCCATTGTTGAAAAGCCAATGTTGACTTTGGTTTGACCTGTTGCTTTAGCAGTGCAAACTGTTGTTGGTACAGGTGGCACTATGTATTGTATTGTGTGACTACCTCAGTAGCTTTAGCAATATCTGCCTGGCCGGCTTGTGGAAGACTCCGGTCATTCTTTGAAGAAGAATCTGAAACGCTTTACTTACTGTAGTTTTAAGGCCTATTTATGAGGTTTTTATTTTAAAACGAGTCCGCTTGAAACCAGAGACAGCATTTTCAACCAACTCACGGGGCAATGTTAGCTTTAGTTGTAAATTTAGCATGCTAAATTCTGTCTGAAATCAAGGACCCATTGTTTGAAGTAAATCTGACACCATTATTAATGTAAACTGCATATATGCCAGAAAGCTTGATAGGAACATAGCAACAGTAACTAAGGGGGGTGGGGCGTAGCAAACAGTCAGTCAAGACAGCAAGAGAGGGGGCGACAAACTGAGGAGTGAGCTCAAAGGGCACTTGATGATTAATGTTGACCTCTCAAGATAAAATGTACTTTTTGTTCTTTTCTCTCTCAACTTTGTGTGTCTGTCTGTTTCTCTTTCTTCCTCTTTAGTTTGATCTTGTCTTAATATTTTTTTTTCTCTCTCACATTCTCTTACAGAGGAAGAACTTGAGGGAGCAGTGGCTCAGTGAAACAGCTCCAGCTCCTGTCCTGCCTTCACTTGACAGCTCTAGGCCCCGTCCACCACCACAAGACGAAGCAGACAAGCACACGGCAGCGTGAGCCACATTTTAACAGCTTCATTCAGATGCAGTCACAACTTGTGGGTGTGTTCGAGATATTCATGATAGAGGGGAGCTACAACAGTTGTGGTTTTAAGCTACTGTCTGCTGGCACACAGATAAAAAAATATTCAAGGTTCACATGTCCATTTCTAAAGATGGAAATATTTGCCATGAAGCATGGAGTACAGTATTTTCCTCACAGATACATTTATATATCGACCATGACGAGATAAGAAGGCAGCCATGTGACAGGTGATGTGATGGATTATAGACTAGAACATACACACACACACACACACACACACACATCTCACAACGTCTCGGTTTTCTTCCCCTGCTCTGAATCATTTGTGTTATGAGCTCTAATGTGCATCTTTTTGTGTTGACACACATTACATCTGTGCCAATGTGTATGTGTTTGTGTCAGGGAACAAACCAAAAGTCAAAAGACGCCCGAGGACGAGGAGGAGGACGAGGCAGCTGATGCCAAAGAGGAGAAACAAGCCTTCCAAGAAGAAAACAAAGAGTCCATCAACTGTACAGCCGCAGCCAGAACACACAACCACTATCAGGTGAGATAGGCAGATGTTTCTAGAGTAACATACATTCACACACACAGGCAAAACTGTTCAAATACATATAATCTTCTGAGAGATCATATTCATATTCAGTGCACACTTTTCTCTGACAATACCCAGGTTTTCTTGTAAAAAATTAGGTCCGAAAATTTAGAGATATAAATAAAAAGCCCTAAAATATTTTTGTCATAGCCCAAATTCTCCCCAAAGGCTGAATATTAAATACAGGTCTGTGGATGCAGGCCTTTTGCCACATCCCAGGCCGTTGAGCGGTCAATAAATAAATAGTACAGCAAGCAGAAAAGAATCTTACTAGCATGACAACTGGGATGTGAGTACTTCAAATGAAGTGTGTATGAATAACAAATAGAGAACAGTGCTACCACATAATGATTTAGCGCTGCATGAGTAATTCTAACCAGAGCTTTACCCTGAATTTGGTGAATGATGAAACAGATGCACGGCTTGTTGCCATGAATATCGTACACTTTTGCAGTTTGATTTTCTTTACCTAAAGTTAACCTGGATTTATCATTTAATAGATTAACATGAGCCCATATTTATCACATATTGTATTGTTTTTCTTGCATCGAGCAATTGTATCCTTGCATGTGAACTTTAAACTCCACTAAATGTTCGTCTGAATGTTTACTGTACAGCCCACATTTAGCTCAGTCGGACACTGGCAACCAACAGCAGGACTGAAATGGTTGTTGGGTAAAATAACCTCAGTCTTAACATGATGGGACTAAGCTTGGTTCAACACTTGTCTGATGATGACTGTGAAATATTTATGGCAGGGCACAAGTTGGGGAGGGCTCCAGAAAGAGGGGGCTTGTGTTTAAAGCTGCAGACTCTGTGTCTGTTTTAAGTGTCTGACCAGGGAGAGCACTTAGTATTGTCTCTTTTCTTTACCCACAGGCTGGCACTGACGAGGACGTACAAGGTAAGAAGTCAGCTGGGCGGTAATCGTCATCAGCTTACCATCAGCTTCCATCTCATTTTTGTCACTCTCCTGACTATGCCTGCCTAGAATCTATTCTCTCTTGACAGATGTTAATTTAGCATAACTAAGTCTTTGCATGAAGAATAGTTATTTAAATCACCGTGACAGAATGGAGCCATGGCTGAGAAACAGCTCTACTTTGACTGTAACAACATTACTTACTTAAATTCTGCCTGCATGACTCACTCCACAAGGACACGATAAAGAGCAAAAGTTTATCCCAAACCTTTTCAGCCAATCTTCACCTTGTGCACAAAGTCACAGAGAACCCGGGAGGTAAACAATAACAGAACAACTATATAATACTTGATACTAATGACTTTCTTCCCCCAAAACTTAATTCACAGAATTAAAATTGGGATTCATGCAAGTTATATTAGCACATTAAAAGCTTGAGAAAGCTTTGTTTTGCTCTCTAAATTCCAGCTAAAATGTGTATACTTTTTGATAAGAAAAAAAGAAGTTATGATGATATTACTGCTATTGTGCAGTTTTTTTCTATTTTTCAAAATAGGGTGAAACAGTGTCTAAACTTTCGACCTCTGTGGAGTCGTTTCCCATTGCAGTGTTAAACAGACATGTTTTATACAACAACATTTATAAAAAAAATACTTTTTGTCATATTTTCTGAAACTTCCACTATACCTTGACAGTAGTAGTAACACGACTTTCTTGGCTCTGATTGTTGTTTTCAGGCACAGTGGATTCTTGTAAATGCTATTAGGAGCGGCAGGACAAACCAAAGGAATCTGGCTTTTACTACTGTCAGGATATAGTTAAAGTTTCACCAAATATGACATAAAGTTATTTTTATAAAAGTTACTACCACTACTAGTAGTTAAAGTTACTGCAGCTTTAAGTCCTGTGGTTGACCACTGACAGAAGCATGTCATTGCCCTGTATTGACCTAATGCGGCCCGCCCATTTCTTCAAGTTACATTTGGCTTTAACTAGCTTTCAACAAGCTCAATAATTTTTACTGTGTGTTGCAGTGGATGTTTCTTAAAAATTCAAGAACTGTGATGCTGACTTTTTCTTTGTTGTTTTTTAGGTTATTAAAAATGAATTAGTTGAATTCTTCACAGACAATCACCAAACCAGTTAATTTTTGTGTTCTATTTATCTTTTCTCTGATATACATTGTATTAACTACCACTTCACATTAGGAAATTAAAAGACAAAATAATGACATGAAAGCACTTCTATGTTTCTAAAACTCATAAGGTCAGTAGCCCTAAAAACACAGATACATGTTTTTTCCCCCTTTTTCAATATACTCTTATAACCTTGTTTTAGTACCGACATCTGTTCTTTACATTCACATTCATTAGAGAGGATCCATTGTATGATTGCATTTCTATTCCACTCAGAAAGTGGAAGATAGCAAAGCTAAGCTCATTTGTCAGCAGTCAGTTTTCATCTCACATTATACAAAGTGAAAGGTGTAAGCTAGGCTAGCTGGCGTTTGCTGTCTGTCTTTGATGGGTCTAGTTGTGGTGACAGCAAATGACTGTCAAAACTCAGGAATGGCTAGTCCTGTAAACTCAGCACTCTGTATGCTACACTGCGATTCCAGTCACAACACATAGTGACTAAGGAACGGAAACATGGGATAAGGCAGGGATTGCTCAGGTCACAGGTGGGACTCCACACAGATGTTGCACCAATAACATTACAGCAACAACACTGTCAGTCAAAACCAAAAATGACTGTTAATCACTAATGTGGGGGCAGCTGTCTTATGTCTTATCTGTATACTGATTTCTAAGCAAAGTTCAATTTTAGTTTGAATTTAATATCTATAGTGCAACACTTTCTCTTTCAGTGAATAAAGAGGCTGAGGATCACTTCACTATACAAATGGCACAAAGGATGTTTCATGAAAATGGGCAAGATGGCCGATCAGGTGAGACACAGTAGACTTTTTTGTAACTGTGGCTGTAAAAAGATCAGTATTTAGTATCTCGTAATTTCTAGGGCTTAGGATACCGAGGTCATAAATATATGTAGTATTTTTAGCTCAGAATTTGAGTCCCTTGAAGTGCAGATTAACTCTTATAACTAACCCTTGGGTTTTTAAAAGTCCTATCTGACTACAGCCCTTTGTGGTTATGTGACTAAACAGAGGCAAAAGTTTTACCATAAAAAAAAGCAATTTAGGCTACAGAATATCAGAATATCGTCAGTCTCTCCATTCTCCTCTTGCAAATGATGACCCCTTTATTTTATGCGCTGAGGCACTGCCCTCAGGGTACGACTTAACGATGGTACTGAGGTGAACGGCCTGAGAACAATGTTATATTTAGCCCACTTATTTCTGTTAGTTAATTTTTTATGCCCGCTGGATGGCTGTGTGGAGTAAAAAGCTGCTGCATTTTGCTTATTGTGTCTCTAAATTGTCTTTTGTGCCGGCTCACATTAGTTATACAGAGCTCTAATACTGACCTGGGACTTTTTAATTACACCCAATCCTATGATACATTAAAAGATGCAGCTTGACCTCGACTGCAAATGACTTCTGTATCTATAATATCAGCCTTGAGAGTTGTCTTCCCTCTAGCATTTTATCTTCTTAATTTAAACCGCGTTCTGTCTTGTGTTGCAGTTCTGGGAACATTGGCAGTGCAGGTCGAGAAAGACCCAAGGACAGGTGCCACAGTCGTCAGGTCAGTGGCCCCCGTGCTCACACCGGCTGGTGCTCCGACAGCTACCACTGTCTTCGACGATGGCAGAAAGAGCATCCACGCTGTTGGTGGGGTGGGAGGTCAACCCTCCACCGAAGAGCTCGGGCAGATCTTGAGCGTTATCGACGGGGTTGGGATGAAAGTGCTGCTGGATGAGGTCACAGTCACACCAAACAAGGCGGAAACAAAGACAGAGAATGTCGATGCCAACAGAGCCCCAGAGGGAAAAGTCCTGTCTTTTTCTACCTGTCATGCCATATCAGAGGAGGACAGTACGCAGTTAGACAGCTCAAGAAGCCACGACTTGGAAGCTGAGCTGAGGAGAGAGGACTGTGCTGTAAGCATGGGAAACGAGGAGGATAAGAAAGAGGACAGAAGCATCACGGCGGTTAGAGACATCGCAGGGGAAGTAGGTTACGTGGAGGATCAAATGTTGGAGGAAGGCCCAGTCACTCTTTTGTTCCTCGGATATGCTGATGCTACAACTGACCAAGGAAACGGTCAAGAGGACCACGAAGGCATGCTTACTGTGGAAAGAGTAATGATCACTGAGGAAGGAGAAGAACATGTCTTAGGACCTGAAACATCTGCTTCACCTCAGGAAGGGAAAGAGTCCCAAGACCAAGTATTTCAGGACATTCCCCTGGAAGGAAATGGGGCAGGAGTTAAAGTCCAGGGAGAGGAAGGTGATAAGGAGCTGCATAATTCATCATTACCCAGTATAGCAGAGGGAGGAGGTTCCAAGCGCAAGACCTGTCAGTGTTGCTCTGTCATGTAAGGAAATGATTGAAAGGAGAGATTCCCCTCTTCAGCCTTAATCCTAACATTTATAATACTGTGCCTTCCATTAGGAACTGTGTGCTGCATTGCTGCCTCAATGACTAATATGAGAGAATACACCACCATCTGGTATTATGTTACGATGGTTTTGGCTTTAAGCACCCAGCACTTCACTTCGCTTTGCCAAAGAAGCAGACATTTATTATGTTGTAGGTCTTTTATAGCAGCTGTGGACTGACAAAAGCTCCGAGGTACTATTAAAACCCACTTCCTCCCTCTGGTGGACAAAGCTGAGAATTTCAACATGCCCTCCTGAAGGCTTGAAGATACTTAAGACTCCAATATCTTTCTGCCTTAGGACTTGTTCTGTGCCGCATCAGCTGAAAATATTCCATGTTTGCTCTAGGAATGGAAAAGAGCAGGAGAAGCATATTTTACAGCTTTGAGCACAAATATTAGTAATCAGTAATCATGGTGTGATCCAGTGTGTCTGTCTTGAAAAGTAAAGAGAATAGTGACGTTTGTAACATCCTTTGTACTTTCATACCCATTACTACTCAGGGCTGTAGCTACCACTGAGGACAGAGAGAATTTGGGGGTTTTAATGTCATTCACATTTTACTTGTTGAGTTTCTTAAGCCTTAATCAGTTGTATTTTAGTCTCCAAATCCTTAAGCTAATAGTTTTAATAATTTGGGGAAATACCATCATTCATTTTTCGCTTTTACATTAATCAAACATTTGATGTATTACTTAATGAGCTTTAGAGGTGCTAGTAGGTGAATCGTGTTACTTTTGGACAGAGCCAGGCTTGCTTTTGGTATCGATATTTTCATCCAACTCTTAGCAAGAAAGCAAAGTTACTTACCCAAAATGTCAAACTATGCTTTTAAATTAGATTGTTTTAGACTTGAAACAATTTTATCCATCAGAATTGTGTTGCTGGCATTGTAGGAAAAGCATTGAAGCTGCATTAGGGCAATAGTATAGGGAGATAAAATATTAATATGTTAATATAATTTAGCAGTTAAATTACTGTAGAACATGTGGGAAAATAACATTTTACAGACTTGTTTTTGTGGCTAGTTGAAAATAATTTTAATATTTGGTATAATTTGTATTAATTTGGTATAAAATGAATTTAATGCAGTGGATGTAAACTGGAATATATGATTATAAACAGAATATAATGAGTATGTTCTTTGTGTCTAATTTCCTCAAGATCCCACATTTGAACACAATTTCACACAAACACAATAAACACTGTAGTATGCAGCACATCTCAATGTTACACAATAATAGAGATACACTTAAATCACTACAATGCTGCTGTGATTCATTGAAACTGCACAGTGCATCTCAAAGAAGAGGATTTCGTTTCGAGGACAGGAAGGTACAGGTGCTAAGTAGATGAGCTGGATCATATTTCCATTGTGGTCAGTACTATCACGCACTGAAGATGACTGCAGCGCTACAGTCAGGTGGGTCTCTTCCTTTAAAAATTCTACATTATGTGTCTACCTTTGTATTTGTTTGCTTAACTTTCACTCTTTTCTCTCTGTGATTCAGTGGCAGATATTAATAGTAAAGCTTTATGTGGTCAGTAAGATAAAAGCAGCAGTACAGTTAAAGATCATGTCATACCGTGCTTGAAGAAGAAGTACTCAGATGTTTTTACTGAAGTAAAAGTAGGAATAACATTGTCTAAAAACACTCAGTGAGAAGTAAAAGTCCTGCATTTAAAATGTTAAAAAGCAGTGTTTTTTTAAAGTAAGTATACGTATCAATTGTAAGTAAAAAGTACAGTATCTGTGAAATGTAGTGGAGTAACAAAAAAAAAGTGGCATAAAATGTAAATAGTCATGTAGAGATGTCAAAATTATACTTTAGTAAAATACTGGAGTAAATGTATTTAGTTACTTCCCATCACCGATGTCGTAATCATCAAAACTTTATGTTCACCTTAAATATTTATAAGACTGATACTATTTGTATACTACTACTACTACTACTACTAGCACAACTGCCACTATCATATTTGATAATACTGGATAATGGAATCATGAAATTGCATGTCAATTAAATAGTATCGTATGGTATTTAATTATTTTTGAATAGCATTTAAAGTAATCTGTAAGAACCTTCTTCATAACAACAGCAGAGAAAATGTTGAGGATGGAATAAACAGGTTAAGCTCATTAAGGTGCATTAATATGTCCTGTTGCCTGAGCTTTATGTACAGTAAGGTGCTGCTATTTGTAATCCTGACATGCAGTGTGACTGGCATTAAGCCCCTAAATGCAGGTGTAAATATAGTCCATAGATTTAAACCTGCAGCACAGGGAACCAGATAATATTGCAACAATGTTTATATGAAGGAGAACGTATGTTAAATAATTATTCAGTGACAGCACATAGTACGTGGGGTCTCAAATTCAAATTTGTTTGGGCCAGTGCCGGTATTGTTATCTCATAGGAGGGCAACCTGAACGTTTAAGTACACCAAGAAAGCACAATATTCTTAAAATATTTCCATTAATAACATATTTATCAAAAACATGCAAACAGCAGTTTCTATCCATTTTTATGTCATTATTTTGTATCATTTTTGTTGTTCACAACCAAAAGACAAATGAAGGCCCAAAATCTGCACCTTTGACCTTTGCCATTATTTTATATCAAATAAAATACTTTTTTAAAATAGAATTGTTTTATTTTAATTTTATATGAAGGATAGTTTAAATTGATATGAAAAAAACTATTATGTTATTATTATTATTGTTATTTATATCTTGCGTGCCAGATTATGTCATATTTTTGACATGTCACAGGCTGGAGGGGAGGAGGGTAGAGGGCCGAAAATGGCCCCCAAGGTCAGCATTTTGAGATCCCTGGCATTGTGTATCCATGTTATGATGCATCAGTGTAAATACATAATGCTTGTCCAGTTAAAGAGTTAAATTGTTATTACAGGGATAATCACAAACCGTTCAAGTCAATGTGGCTCAGGGATAACAGGCATTAGCTCAATGAGTGAAGGTCTGTTATACCAAACAGAATGATGGAAAAAATTCTCAACAGGAAAACTGGTAAGAAGATGAGTCTCTGTGTCCGGCCAGGCTGGCAGATACTGTACATAGTGTGCGTGCCAAAACAGACAGTAAAGCCGATTACTCTTTCCCTTTGTCAGCAGAATTGGCTGTGCTAGGTCACAGCGGGGGAGAAAAGTCACCAAAACAACACATAAGCATGCTGGAAAAAAGGAAAAGTATTAAGCACTGGACAACTTTAAGACAGGCATTTAAAGCAATCTCAATAACTGAACACCAAAGCCAAGAGAAAGATCTGCACTTCATCCTTATGAAGGTGCTGTAGCAAGGCTAGATTACCAACAGGGCAAAGCAGGCAACTGCCCTGGGGCCACAGACTTTCTGGGGCCCTGGAAGCTCCAGGCTTAGTGTATATCAACTGGTTTGTGTTAATGTAACTGACATGATAAGGGCCTATAAAGTGTTAAAGTACAGGCCTTAAAGGTGCCCTGCAGAGTTTTCTTATAAAATAACAAAGTTTCTGTTCTCAGTGTTTCTCATCAAAACACATTGTGTATATTACAAATGTGTTGAATGCATTTCCCTCCTCATCCCAGTTTTTCTTTTGAAAACTGCATTGTTTACATCCATGTTTACAACTGTTGGCAGGAATCACGTCACCCCTAGGTGTGCACGTGCAACGAAGACAGAAACATTGCTCTTTAGCACTACTATAGATTTATAACCTGGTCTTGACCCTGTCTTGAAGAGGGTCCCTGTGTCAATTCTTTGTACTTTTATGTTGCACATTCCTAAATGAATTTGTGTTTGATAAAATCACCACACAGCAAACCTAGGGCCAGATAGTATTACAGCACAGAAAACTTGTACACATTGCACAAAGAGTGGGATTAACAGGGGGGGTTAACAGGGGCCCATCAACTAGGTTTTGCATTGGGGATGGCTAGCTGGTTTCTGTAGCAGTCACACACAAAAGATAATAATAATTAGCTAAATACCCTATTTTTAAAAAACAACAGACAATAATCTTTCGTTAAAAATGATAGTTGTGTTTTGTAATAAAGCAGTTATAGACAATAATAATGAAACTAGCAATGATACAATGGATTTTAGTGTCAACCTCTGTGACACTTTCTCATGTGTGTCTCTTAAAGGAGAATAGAGAAGAAACACCATTAAGTGCTTAAAAGGCTTGTAACCATGGAAACAAGAGATCCCAGACCGAGCCCTCAAGGTCCTGTCTCCCAGGATGATGCTGGTCTGTGGATAAAGCCAGACTCCAATCCAGTGACTGACCACACAGAGAGCCCATCGGTAACCTGTGGTGAGAGGCCCCAAGATGAACCCAAAGTCACACCCCCTGCCCCTGCACTGAAACCTAGGTACTACAGTGTGATGGATGATGTGGGTGCAGATTATGTCTTCATCCCACCGCCTCCTCCATCCTACACGGCTCCTTCGCTGCCAACAGCAGGCAGCACAGATGCAATGGTGAATAATCCCACTGTGACCCTTACAAATGGGGGAGCTGACGCCAGAGAGGCTAAAGCTAATCCAAGTGGCTTAGACTGGCATCATGATGAGAGGCAGTTAATGGCAGCACACAACGAGGTAAATGAAGTGAAAGCAAGTACAGCGCAGACTTCTGTGTCTATGGACACTGTATCTCTGTCCGAAGGCAAGGGCTGCACTCTACCAAAAGATCAAGACCAAATATCCATGGAGGGCACAGGTAGTCTCATGGAAACATGTTATGATCCATCTGGAAGACACAATCAGGATAGCACAACAGGAGATGAAGAATCAAATGTGGAACATGAGGATGTTGTCATTTTGAGTGGACAACAGGAAAACTGGAGGAAAACTGATGCAGAAGGAGATAAATATCCAAAACAGGTACCATCAAATACTGACAAAGACAAAGACGTTTGTGATCTTGCTGAGACAGATTTAAAACTAACGACAGAAAACATGGACTTTGTGGAGACAAATGCTCTAACTGATTTTGAGTCCTGTGGGCCACCAGAGCTCTGCAAATGCAACCAAAACAAGATGGAGGCAGCGACCAATCAGCCTCAGGTACCAGAGGTGTCCAATTATGATGAAGGGCATGTTGACAACAAATCTTTAGACTCTAACCTCACAAAGGATGACTGGGTGAGAAGAGAGAGTGGCACTAGCAAAACGCAAGTGTCCCGTCTGTCCATCTCTGAAGGCTATGAGGAGATAAAGGGAGAGCAGGAAGATGTAAGCAGGAAAATATCTACTGATATCCAACAAGGAGAGCAACTTCTTCAACGTCTGCAACAGGTGCAGCTACGACAGGATGTACATCTACCGGAGAGCCCTCACACCTCCCAGCAGGTTGTCCAAGAGATGAGAGGTGAGACAAAGGGTGTGCTTGGGGCTGAAGTAGATGTTAGAGCAAGAGAAGGGGATCTGACAAGTGTAGAGAGTAAACCTGACACTGTTGAGGATGAGGGGGCAAAGACAAACCTGATGGAGAAGGAAAGGAATGAGGGTAAAGACACTTTTGAAACAAAAGCAATGATGTCTTCGTCAACAATTCCTGTAGAGCCAGAGCATCACATCATTGCCAGAACAGAGGCAGGTGACTCTGATGATGATCAAAGTAACAGCTGGGTACCTGTAGATGTGTCTCCAATCAACCCCAATGAAACATCTCCCACCCAAACTCCCTTTCCATCCACCCGCCACCGATTGTCAGTCACTGAGACCTCCATTGAGAGGCAGATCCATGAGGCAGCCAATGAGAAGCAGAACCTGCAGAGAGCTGGCGGTCTCTTCAACCTTGCAGATAATCCAGATGTGCTAGAGATCCCCTTCAAGACCAATATCTCGTTTGAACCACTTGCCACCACGTTTTGCCCAGACCAGCGAAGCGACTGGCAGTTCTCCGAGCAGAAGATGCAGAAGGAGATAAGTCAGGAGATTCAGAGAGAACTGGTGCTGGTCAACCAGGGGAAGATCCCAGGGGGTTACAGTAAAGGTGAAGTCCGCCAATTAAAGGAGACAAAACTGCTGTTTGAGGCTTTTCAGCAGGATAACACAGACGGTCCAACAAGGCAAAGGAAACTCCCAACCTCACTGATGAAAGATCATGTTTACCCATCTGTGCTAGAG